TGCTCTGCACATGGCAGCGTGGTGAGCATGCGCAGGCAAGGGAGAGCGTGCGAGGCTGGAGGGAGGCTCGTGCCAGCAAGCCCCTTCAAGCAAGGGAGAAAAACGGGCCTGTGCGATTGAGGGACTGAACCTAACTTGGCACACAAAACTCCCATGCCAAGATTGCTTTAATTCTATAGTTGGCGGAGTTCAGAATGTTTTTTGATTTTAGGTGAACTATAAATCCCAGCAACTACAACTCCCAAATGTCAAGGTCTATTTTCCCCAAACTCCACTGTTGTTCACATTCGGGCATATTCAGTAGTTGTGGCAAGTTTGGTCCAGACCCATCATTGTTTGAGTCCACAGAACTCTCTGGATGTAGGTGAACTACAACTCCAAAACTCAAGGTCAATGTTCACCAAACCCTTCCAGTATTTTCTACTGGTCATGGGAGTTCTGTTTGCCAAGTTTGGTTCAATTCCATTGTTGGTGGAGTTCAGAATGATCTTCGATTGTAGGTGAACTATAAATCCCAGCAACTACAACTCCCAAATGTCAAGGTCTATTTTCCCCAAACTCCACTGTTGTTCACATTCGGGCATATTCAGTAGTTGTGGCAAGTTTGGTCCAGACCCATCATTGTTTGAGTCCACAGAACTCTCTGGATGTAGGTGAACTACAACTCCAAAACTCAAGGTCAATGTTCACCAAACCCTTCCAGTATTTTCTACTGGTCATGGGAGTTCTGTTTGCCAAGTTTGGTTCAATTCCATTGTTGGTGGAGTTCAGAATGATCTTCGATTGTAGGTGAACTATAAATCCCAGCAACTACAACTCCCAAATTACAAAATCAATCCCTCCACCAGTATTCAAATTTGGGTGTATCGGGTGTTTGTGCCAAATCAATCCTAGCAACTACAACTCTACAGTGCTCTCTGGGTGTAGGTGAACTACAACTCCCAAACTCAAGGTCAATGTCCACCAAACCCTTCCAGTATTTTCTACTGGTCATGGGAGTTCTATTTGCCAAGTTTCAATTCCATTGTTGGTGGAGCTCAGAGTGCTCTTCGATTGTAGGTGAACTATAAATCCCAGCAACTACAACTCCCAAATGACAAAATCAACCCCACCAGTATTCAAATTTGGGCATAATGGGTGTTTGTGCCAAATTAAGTACAGTGAATGGAAATACATCCTGCATATCCGATATTTACACTATGATTCATAACAGCAGCAAAATTACAGTTATGAGGTAGCAATGAAAATAATGTTATGGTTGGGGGTCACCACAGCATGACTGTATTAAGGGGTCCCGGCATTACGAAGGTTGAGAAACCCTGCTCTAGTCTGGTTTTCCCATTCATTCTGCATCCATTGGAGGCATTGCCTTTTCAGCAAGAGCCGTTGCTTTGTTTTGACTTCCATGGTTGATAGTAAAGAGTCCTGTACTGGGCATCATGTGGTGCATATTTCCAACAGAGAAAACAATTTGCTTTTTTATCGTACCGCTGTTATTTTATCCTCGTGATCTCCTGCCGGCCATCTGCTGTCCCATCAACAAGGGCACTAGGTCAGGTCTCTCCCAGGCCTTGAGATTTCAGGGCCAAAAGCTGAGATTTAGAGACTTTGTGATGTCACGGGAGGCCGGGCCCTGGTGCTTTTCCAAGGAGTGACACCGAGCAATGCCATTAAATATCATCTTCTGCATCAGCCACAGTAATTGGGAGTCATTCAAATAAAAAAGACTATGAACTACAAAAATATATTAAATGAATAGCACCATGAACTAAAAGAGATAATATTTTCAAGATAGTTCTCTCACACAGAGATTCCTCCGCTACAGTCTGGGGGTGGGAGTCACATCTAGATCATGATTTTTTTTCCCTGTCAGGAGTGACTTGCGAAACTGCAAATCTGGGGGACGTCTGGATGTTTTACTATCCTGTGGGAGGCTTCTCTCATGTCCCTGCATGAGAAGCTGGAGCTGACAGATGGGAGCTCACCCCACTCCTTGGATTCGAACCAACCGACCTTTCGGTCAGCAGTCTGCAAGGATGTTGCCCAGGGGATGCCTGGCTGTATTACCATCTTGTGGGAGGCTTCTCCCATGTCCCTGCTTGAGAAGCTGGAGCTGACAGACAGGAGCTCACCCCACTCCTTGGATTTGAACCATCGACCTTTCAGTCAGCAGTCTGCAAAGACGTTGCCCAAGGAATGTCTTGATGTTTTACTATCCTGTGGGAGGCTTCTCTCGTGTCCCTGCATGAGAAGCTGGAGCTGACAAATGGGAGCTCACCCTGCTCCTCGGATTTGAATCACCGATCTCTCAGTCAGCAGTCTGCAAAGACATTACCCAGGGGATGCCCGGATGTTTTAATCTCATGCCCCCGAATGGGAAGCTGGAGCTTACAGACAGGAGCTCACCCCACTCCTTGGATTCGAACCACCGACCTTTCAGTCAGCAGTCTGCAAAGACGTTGCCCAAGGGATGTCTTGATGTTTTACTATCCTGTGGGAGGGTTCTCTCAGGTCCCTGCATGAGAAGCTGGAGCTGACAAGCAGGAGCTCACTCTGCCCCTTAACTTGAGAAACTGCAAGTCGCTTCTGGTGTGAGAGAGTTGGCCATCTGCAAGGACGTTGCCCAGGGGACCCCCGGATGTATTACCATACGTGTGGGAGGCTTCTCTCATGTCCCTGCATGAGAAGCTGAAGCTAACAGATGAGAGCTCACCCCACTCCTTGGATTTGAGCCACCAACCTTTCGGACAGCAGTTTGCAAAGACGTTCCCCAAGGGACGAGCGGATGTTTTACCATACTTGTGGGAGGCTTCTCTCATTTTCCTACATGAGAAGCTGGAGCTGACAGATGGGAGCTCACCCCGCTTCTCGGATTTGAACTGTAAGGACGTTGCCCAGGTGACGCCCGGATGTTATAGCATATTTGTGGGAGGCTTCTCTCAAGGGTTTCTGCATGAGAAGCTGGAGCTGACAGACGGGAGCTCACCCCACTCCTTGGATTCGAACCACCGACCTTTCAGTCAGCGGTCTACAAAGATGTTGCCCAAGGGATGTCTTGATGTTTTACTATCCTGTGGGAGGGTTCTCTCAGGTCCCTGCATGAGAAGTTAGAGCTGACAGATGGGAGCTCATCCCACTCCTTGGATTCGAACCATCGACCTTTGGTCAGCAGTCTGCAAGGATGTTGCCCAGGGGATGCCTGAATGTTTTACTATCCTGTGGGAGACTTCTCTCAGGTCTCTGCATGAGAAGCTGGAGCTGACAGATGGGAGCTCACCCCACTCCTTCTATTCAAACCATTGACTTTTTGGTCACCAGTCTGCAAGGACGTTGCCCTGGGGACGCCTGGATGTTTTACTATCCTGTAGGAGGCTTCTCGCAGGTCCCTGCATGAGAAGCTGGAGCTGACAGATGGGAGCTCACCCCACTCCTATTCAAACCACTGACTTTTTGGTCACCAGTCTGCAAGGACGTTGCCCTGGGGACGCCTGGATGTTTTACTATCCTGTGGGAAGCTTCTCTCAGGTCTCTGCACGAGAAGCTGGAGCTGACAGATGGGAGCTCACCCCACTCCTTGGATTCGAACCACCGACCTTTCAGTCAGCAGTCTGCAAGGAAGTTGCCCAGATGATGCCCGGATGTTTTACCATACTGTGTGGGGCTTCACTCAGGTCCCTGCGTGAGAAGCTGTAGCTGACAGACAGGAGCTCACCCCGCTCCTTCTATTCAAACCACCAACCTTTTGGTCAGCAGTCTTCAAGGACGTTGCCCAGGTGATGCCTGGATGTTTTACTATCCTGTGGGAGGCTTCTCTCATGTCCCTGTATGAGAAGCTAGGGTTGACAGATGGGAGCTCACCCTGCTCCTAGAATTTGAACCCCCAACCTTTCAATCAGCACATTGCCCAGGGGACGCCTGGATAGTTTACCATCCTGTGGGAGGCTTCTTTCAGGTCCCTGCATGAGAAGCTGGAGCTGACAGACCAGAGCTCACCCCACTCCTTGGATATGAACTGCCGACCTTTCAGTCAGCATATTGCTCAGGGGAGGCCTGGATAATTTACCATAGGAGGCTTTTCTCATGTCCCTACATGAGAAGCTGGAGCTGACAGACGGGAGCTCACCCCGCTCCTCGGATTCGAACCACCAATCTTTGGATCAGCAGTCCTGCTGGCACAAGGCTTTAACCCATTGCGCCACAAAGAGAGAGCTCCTTGGATCATGATACAGGAGAAGGGAAAGCTGATGGAGCTATTTACATATCCGAACGAGGCTGTCCAATGATGATAAGAGTTATTTACATATTCGAACGAGGCGGTCCAATAGCACGCAAGGGGCGGGGCTGAGTTTTTTTTTTTTTTGTAAGAGGGAGATGCGGTTGACGTCTCAGCCCTGCAAAATTAACCAGCAGGGAACCAATAGGAGGCTCGAGTCTGGGAAAAGAAGGCGTGGCTGACATAGATATTTTGCATACTGGAGGAGGAGGAGGAGAAGACGCAGGGCTACTTCTGATCCAGCGGCGGAGTGGGCGTGCCGTTATTTGCATATGTAGGTTCTAGAAAGGCGGAGCATGCGGTTGTGGAATATTAAGCAGCAGGGAACCAATAGGAGGCTCGCGTCCGGAAAAGGGGGCGTGGCTGACATAGATATTTTGCATTCTAGAAAGGCGGAGCATGCGGTTGTGGAATATTAAGCAGCAGGGAACCAATAGGAGGCTCGCGTCCGGAAAAGGGGGCGTGGCTGACATAGATATTTTGCATACTGGAGGAATAGGAGACGCAGGGCTGCTTCAGATCCAGCGGCGGAGTGGGCGTGTCCTTATTTGCATTTGTAGGTTCTAGAAAGGCGGAGCCAAGCGGTTGACGTCTCAAGCCTGGAATATTAACCAGCAGGGAACCAATAGGAGGCTCGAGTCCGGAAAAGGGGGCGTGGCTGGGAGAGCTATTTTGCATACTGGAGGGATAGGAGACGCGGGGCTGCTTTTGATCCAGAGGCGGAGTGGGCGTGGCTTGATTTGCATAGGGCGTGGCTAAGGGATATTTTTCCCGGGAGAAAAAAAAACCAAGAGGCATCGAGAGGAGCAGCAGCAGCAGGAGGAGCAGCAAGAGCAGGAGGCGCCTCGCCAGCCAAGACGGGGAGCCCGCGGAAAGCGGTGGTGGAGGGCGAGGCCCCGAGGAAGGGATCCGGGCCTTGGGGGCTCCCAGAGGTGGATGCTGCCCGGCCCAGAAGAGGAGGAGCAGGAGGAGGAGGAAGAGGAAGGGGAAGGGGCGCCCCGCTGGATCCCGGTGAGGAAGGAAAGCCATGCCATTCCTTGATTCAATGCAAGGATGTCTTCTCGGGGAGGAGGAGGAGGAAAGGTCTACTCTCTGTCTGAGGCCTCTCTCTTGGGGGATCCAACGCAAATGGAAGGGAAGATGGGGAGAGGCCTTTCCTCCCCCCCTCCCCATCTTCCCTTCCATTTGCCTTTGATCGACCCTTTCTGGGCATCTCCCATAACCCCCCCCCCCCATTCCTCCGCCCGGGAAGGGCTTAGTTTCCTCTGAGGGTGGCTATCCTCACGCACACATATACCCAAAACAGACCCTCTCTGCTTGCTTTTCCAGAACCAGCCCCACCCAGAATGCAAGGAATAGGACGGATACTGGGATTTTGACTTTCCCCACATCTGTGTTCAGGGGGGCAGCAAAGAGAGGCATCCTTCTGCTTCCCACAAACAGGCCAAGCTTGTTTCCCAAGCTTGAGTTGAATCTTTTCTGGGGGGAGGGCATGATAATAATAATAATAATAATAATAATAATAATAATAATAATTGCACCCCATTCCTTTCCCCAGAATAATAATAATTGCAACTCCTTACTTTCCCCAGAGTAGTAATGGTACCCCCTTACCTTCCCAATAATAATAAGAATAAGAAGAATAAGAATAATGGTGCCCCTTCCTTTCCCCCATAATAATAATAATAATAATAATAATAATAATAATAATAATAATAATAATAATAATACCTTGTCACTTTCAGTAATAATAATGGTACCCCCTACTTTGCCTAGCATATTAAGTGTACCCTTTACTTTCCCAATAATAATAATAATAATAATAATAATAATAATACCCTCTTCCTTTTCCCATAATATTAATGGCACCCCTTATTTTTCACCAGAATAATAATGGCACCCCTTAATTTCCCCATAATAATAATAATAATTATTATTATTGCACCCCCTTACTTTCCCCATAATAATAATAATAATAATAATAATAATTGCACCCCCTTGCTTTCACAATAATAATAATAATAATGGCACCCCCTTACTTTCCCAATAATAATAATAATAATAATAATAATAATAATAATAATAATACCCTCTTCCTTTTTCCATAATATTAATGGCACCCCCTTACTTTTCACCAGAATAATAATGGTACTCCTTACTTTTCTCATAATAATAATAATAATAATAATAATAATAATTGCACCCCTTTACTTTCCCAATAATAATAATAGTAATGGTACCCCTTACTTTCCCCATAATAATAATGGTACCCCCTGCCTTACCCCAATAATAATAATAATAATAATAATAATAATAATAATAATAATGGTACCCCCTTATTTTCCCCATAATAATAATGGTACCCCTTTCCTTATCCCATAGTAATAATAATTGCACCCCCTTACTTTCCCCATAATAATATGAATTACACCCCCTTACTTTCCCAATAATAATAATGATGATAATAATAATAATAATAATAATAATGGTACCCCCTTCATTTCTCCAAAATAATAATAATCCACCCCTTTACTTTCCCAATAATAATAATAATAATAATAATAATAATGGATCCCCCTTTCTTGCCCCATAATAATAATAATAGTACCCCTTTCCTTATCCCATAATAATAATAATTACACCCCCTTCCTTTCCCCACAATAATAATTCCACTCCTTTACTTTCCCAATAATAACAACAACAATAATATTAATTGAACCCCTTCCTTGCCCCATAGTAATAATGATTGCACCCCCTTACCTTCCCCCAGAATAATAATGATATCCGTTACTTTCCCCTGGAATAATAATACCTCATCAGTTTCACTAATAATAGTGGTACCCCCTTATTTTCCCCAGCATAATAAGGGTACCTCTTTACTTTCCCCATAATAATCATATTTATACCCTGTTACTTTCCCCATAATAATAATGGTACTCCCTTCCTTTCCCCATAATAATAATAATAATATTTGTACCCTGCTACTTTTCCCATAATAATAATAGCATCCCTTTACTTTCCCCATAGTAATAATGTTACCCCCTTACTTTCCCCAGAATAGTCATTTGGGGGGGAGGACACCAAATAATGATGCCCACTTATTCTTCCCCACATAAATAAATAGAGGTACTCCCTCTGACTTTTCACAAATTGACCAAACTGGTGTTCAAGGGGGGGGGGAAGCAAAGAATAATGGGACCCCCTTTACTTTTCAAAGATCAGCTGTGTTCTTTTTTTTGAAGGGGGGAGATACAAATAGAAATACATTTTAATACGTATTGTTTATAGAACTAAATTTTAATATAATTTTTTGCAATGATTGCGTGCTTTGACTGTGCATGTTCCAGAAGCATTCTCTCCTGATGTTTCTCCTGCATCTATGGCAGGCATCCTCAGAAGTTGTGAGGTCTGTTGGAAACTAGGCAAGTGGGGTTTATATATCTGTGGAATAATGTCCAGGGTGGGAGAAAGAACTCTTGTCTGCTTGAAAGGTGTGAATGTTGCAATTGGCCACCTGGATTAGCATTTAATGGCCTTGCAGCTTCAAAGCCTGGCTGGTTGCTGCATGGTTGAATCCTTTTTTGGGAGGTGTTAGCTGGCCCTAATTTATTATTGTCTGGAATTCCCCTGCTTTTTGAGTGTTGCTCTTTATTTAATGTCCTGATTATAGAGTTTTTTTTAATACCGGTAACCAGATTTTGTTCATTTTCATGGTTTCTTCCTTTCGGTTGCAACTTTGGGGGGGGGGGGGGGGGGGGGGGCAAAAATAGTGATAACCTTTTACATTTCTCAGACTGACCACACTGATTTTCTTTAAACAATAAATAGTGGTACCTCTTTACTTTTCCCAAACTAGTAAAACTATTTTAGACATGGGAGCCAACCAATAGTTGTATCCCTTTGTTTTTCCTATACGTCACTTTGAGTCTCCTTGTGGAGAGAAAAAACGAGGCATAAATAAATATAACAAACATTTTTTTAATCATGTCAGAAGTGACTTGAGAAACTGCAAGTCACTTCTGATGTGAGAAAATTGGCTGTCTACAGAGACGTTGCTCAGGGGATGCCTAGATGTGTTACCATCCTGTGGGAGGCTTCTCTCACATCCCTGCATGGGAAGCTGGAGCTGACAGACAGGAGCTCATCCCACAGATTCAAACCACCTGACTTTCAGGTCAGCAGTTCAGCCAGCACAAGGGTTTAACCCATTGCACCACTGTGGCTCCTCATAATAACATAATAACAACAATAATAACATCAACAACAACAACAATACTATAGATGAACTAAGCCCCTGGTGCTGCAATGGGTTAAACCCTTGCACTGGCAGGATTGAAGACCAACAGGTCGGAGATTCAAATCCAAGGAGAGCATGGATGAGCTCCCTCTGTCAGCTCCAGCTCTGCATGTGGGGACATGAGGGGAGCCTCCCACAAGGATGGTAAAGCATCAAAACATCCGGGTGACCCCTGGGCAACATCTATGCAGACAACCAATTCTCTCACATCAGAAGTGACTTGCAATTTCATAAGTTGAACCAAACTGGGTTTTTTTTTGGGGGGGGGGGTAACAAATACTGGTGCCCCCTTACCTTTCACAGACCAGCCAAACTATTTCTTGGAGAGGCAAAGAATCATGCTATATCTCTTTACTTTTCTCAGACCAGCCAATTTTCTCTTGGGGGGCAAAAAATAGTGGCACCCCCTTTAGTTTTCCCAGCCAGGCCAAACTGGGTCTGTTATGTCTGTGATGGTGAGTCTTCATTCACCCCATAAGGAGCCCCTGGTGGTGCAATTGGTTAAACCCTTGTGTCGGCAGGACTGCTGACCAACAGGTCGGCGGTTCAAATCCAAGGGTTTTCCCCCCCTATGTGTCAGGAGCAATTTAAGAAACTGCAAGTTGCTTCTGGTGTGAGAAAATTGACTATCTGCAAGGAAGTTGCCCAGGGGAAACCAGGATATTTTGATGTTTTACCATCCTTGTGGGAGGCTTCTCTCATGTCCCTGTATTGGAAGCTGGAGCTGACAGAGTGAGCTCATCCACGCTTTCCTGGATTCGAACCTCAACAGCGACAGCGGGGTGAGCTCCTGTCTCAGCTCTAGCTTCCCATGTGGGGACATGAGAGAAGCCTCCCACAAGGATGGTAAAAACATCCAACATCCAGGCATCCCCTGGACAACGTCCTTGCAGAAAGCCAATTCTCTCACACCAGAATTGACTTGTAGTTTCTCAAGTGGCTCCTGACATGAAAAAACAAAATTTCCCCCCATATTCAAAGGTGAATAATGCTAAGGAGGCCTCATGGAGAGCATGGATGAGCTCCCTCTGTCAGCTCCAGCTCTCCATGTGGGGACATGAGAGAAGCCTCCCACAAGGATGGTGAAACATCAAAACATTCGGGCGTCCCCTGGGCAACGTCCTTGCAGACAGCTAATTCTCTCACACCAGAAGCGACTTGCAGTTTCTCAAGTGGCTCCTGACATGAAAAAACAAAATTTCCCTCCATATTCAAAGGCAAATAATGCTAAGGAGGCCTCATGGAGACATGAGAGAAGCCTCCCACAAGGATGGTGAAACATCAAAACATTTGGGCGTCCCCTGGACAACGTCCTTGCAGACAGCCAATTCTCTCACACCAGAAGCGACTTGCAGTTTCTCAAGTCGCTCCTGCCACGAAAAAACAAAAATGCCCCCCACATTCAAAGGTGAATAATGCTAAGGAGGCCTCCTTCTCTTCCTCCCACGTCAGTGTTGTCTCTGGTATTTTTGGAGGCTTCCCCAAGAGCTTGACTGAGTGCCTGGCTTCCGAAGTTTCCTGGCTTGGCAGCCAGAAAGGGAGGAAAAATAAAATAAAATAAAACCCTTTGGAATGGTTGGAGCTGCCCAAAACCCAGCCAGGATTGTGATGGATCATCAGGGAGGAGAGCGAGCAAGTGAGTGGGAGTTTGGAGCAGAGCTTGGCTCCTCTCCTTGGCAGAGCGTTAAAAGAAAGCGGAGAGGTTTGCAGGGCG